GTGAAAAATGGAGCTCTCTTAGCTAACGTGGATACATCGCTTTTCTATCATGTGGCAGACTCATTCTCCATCATTGTTTGTTGGTCTTGTAAATGCCTGCACGAGTTTACTTGCCTCCTTTGCCCTGCATGGCACTTGACGAAATATTCCTTGATCAGACTGCTGTCAGGTACTACTTTTCGAATCGAATGTCCGAAGTCAGTTCAAGTGTTCACGATCGCTTGTCACGCAGTTAAGGATGCTATTTGGCCTTCAAAATGTGTACACTGTTTAGACGGACATTTAACGCCCTGTTTGGTAACTAAACATGAATCATTGAAACGATGTGGTAGGTATTGCTGTAAGTCATTCATAGCTTAGCTTGGCCTTTGACTCAAACTACAGCGGAGACGTAATAATCAGGAGTTAACGTTTTTTGATCCCCTGAAATGAAGGCATAAGGCCAAAGTTAGAGATATCCCTGGCCTCTTGGTGAGCAAATTTAATTTAGTGAGGAAAGTAAAGTAATGGCTTTGAAACGCACGTCTCCTAAACAGGATGGATGTTTTGGTACCGTTTTATGTTGATTAGAAGTGGACGAGCTCTTAAACATGCATTCTATGCATTACAGATTGGTCCTGCCTATCAGGCCACCTGGCTGCCGCCTTACAGAGGCACTCACCCCATCACCCATCGCTGTGACAAACACAACTCAGTGTTAAACCGCTTGCGAGAAACACAGAATACTGCTACGGAACCACCTTTGCAAAATTCTCTCAAACGTCCTCACTGTTGCCTCGAGGCTTCGCGTACTTCCGTCTCGCACTGCGAGCACGTCTGCCTGCTCCGAGTCGAGGAAAGCCCCCCAAAACAATGGGAGGAATTAATTTGGCACCCCGACGGTCTCGAAACCTCCCTACCCTTTAAAGAGGAGCTGGATGAAGTAGAAGGGGATGCGGAGAATGAGGGTGTTCGGGGTGAGTTCGCCGATCGTCGACTGAAGACCTATCTGGATGCTGTGCGCTCCCTTGTTGCTATCTTTGCCTTCGGTGGCGCCGATGACGATCTTATTTCGGCGGAGAATGGACATGTTGTCGCCAACCTGGTTGCCACCACGCAGCACGCCTATGACACCCTTCATGCTTGTGGGTATGATGTTGCTAGGGCACTGGAGGCTATTCGTGACAACCCAGTCGTCTCCCTCGTGAGTCAGTCTGTTTTGCATCTATTTTAACGCCAAATTTTAGGCGTTTAAAGTAACTCACAGTTGGATGTAACAAAAAGAATGAAAAGATTATATGACGAGTAAGGCTTTTTTTGTTTGACAGCCACCTGCCGCCTCCATTTTTGCACACTTATTCCCTCGGGGTTTAACAGACACCTGTCAATACAGCTGAACTGTGCCAGAACTTCCCTTTTTAAACGGACAGGGTAATTCGCACAGGTAGTGAGGGGATAAGGTAGTTTTTTTTCGCTTTGTCAATCCATTGGAGTATTTGATGCCTTTGTTTGTGAAAAACACAAAATGTGAGTGCTTTGTTTGACGTTGTTCCGTGTTTGATTGGATCCGTGGGCTGAATGACTAGTAGGGCTTGAGGGTCGACTCGAGGCCTAGGCGTTAGGCCGTCTTGGAAATGCTCTCACTCACTGAATAGCTTTCTTCTGGCTTATAGTTCTTGGTGAAGAGTGGGTATGTGCGGATTTGGGTTGTACGACTTTGCCTGTACCAAGCATCATCTATAATGCCTATTCAACACTTGGTGAGGGTGCGGGTCTGATTTGGAGTGTTGTGGTGGCGGAGGCGGGGGGCTTTGGAATGGACAGATTTATCACACAATTTTTTTCTACTCCTTCGACGTCTTATTATTATCTTTTTTTAAAGGCTTTTCCGCTCCCAAAACAGAAAACATGTGCTCCTCCTCCCCTTAAGAGGGTTTAACGACCTCCTCTACCATTGCAAACGTACCCAGTTTGCGTGTACTGAGCTGACAAGGGCGACAAGGGGGACTGTGTCAAAGTGCACCCTGACAGAAGGCGGGCAAAAATGGCAGATGCGAGGGGGAGGGAGAGGGGAAGGGATAGATATGTGGACAGATTTTTCTGGTTAGGCAGTCGATATGCAAAACAGCCTATAGGCGGATCCAGTCTGAAATACTTTCTCCCTGACTAGTGTACTCATTCATCCAACTATCACCGTAAAATGCGTTCACTTTCGTGTGTAGGTTTGCATCCAACCCTCCTTTTGGTTGAATGCACGATCTTCCCTCCATCCTCCTGTTTTTAGGGTAAAAATGTCTCTTTTCATGCAAAAGCTACTCCCTCTTTAGAGGTGCTGCCACAGTCTGCTGTAAATTGCACCAGCGACACGAACAAGAGGGAACACTTGGCTTGTTGTCTGGAGGAGAGGAACACTGTGCTTCACTTTGTTTTTCTACGAAGTCTGGCTACTAAATAGATCCCTTTTCAGCACTGGATCAATTTTCCCATATTTACTTTTCTTTTTTGGTGAGGGTTTTGGCCTGCTTGTATTTAGTGCGTAGGTGGAATAGGTGTGCCTTGACATTCCAGTACATGCCTACACTAAATTCGTGGGGTCTTTATGCAAATTTTTCTGCCTTTGGCACACTGAGAAGCCTTTCGTTACATTTCACTATTGCGGCACCGCATCCCCTTGCTCCTTCTCTTTTCCCCCCTCTCCTCTTCCCCTCCTCCCCCTATCCAACATTTGAATCGGGTGTCCTCGTCCTCGTCCTCCCTCCTTTTCGCACCTCCTCGTTCGAATTAATCAGACTGTATGT